CTCCCACTTACGGCTGAGTACTCAGCTCCCCCTCACAGAGCACAGCAACAGTCACTGTCCGAAAGCCACCACCAACCCCAGCCCGCAGGGCCTCTCGGGGCGGCCATCTGCTGGCAGACCTTTCCTGAGAGCCGGTGAGAGTCTCCTGGTTCTCTGTGCGGTCAGTCACTTGTACCCTGGACACTCTGATGACGCTGTGAGGGCTGCAGCAAGCTGCGCTCTCGCGTTAACTTTCCTGCAGAAGCAGCGCTGTGTTTCACCCGGACACCGCTGTGGTGTTCGTGCGCTGGTTTTAGCCGACTCAGAAACCCAGCCACCAACGGAATACTGTTTTTATGAGTGTGTTCTCATACGCAATTATATTTCTAAATTTATACTTTTATCAAAGTAAAACTTATCATTTTAAATATCAAGTATGGCCAGGTTTTACAACAAACAGCAGGACCACCCCCCAGACGGGACAGTCCTCATCACTGCTCCCCACAGCAGCCTCCGTCCACGAGCTACTTCTGCCCTCCACTCACTTCCCACCCAGCTTTCCTTCTGGCACATACTTCTCTTTCTCTATATATCACGTATACACTGCTTCTTGACTTTCAAAAAAAATCCACCAAGGAGGGCTGAGCTCTCACGCTCACATTCAGACACACAGGTCACCCCATCCTTCCAGGGCAGGTCATTTCACGTTCAGTGTCCATCACTGAATTAGGATTGGCAGAGCCACATCGAGTACTATGATCCTATTTCCCTTCTTGAACAACATTAATTCCCAGGAATTAAGAATTGCCTCCTTCTCTCCCCCTCTCAGTTTTTAATGTTCTTATATCATCACCAAACTCACTTAAAAAGGGCCTGTAATGTCCCAGTGGAGTCAAGCAATCCGCTACCATCAGCTGTAAATCTTTCCTTGGATGTGCTTCCCGAAGCCCCGCACCTTTCGACTTCAATTCCGACAGATTCCTCTTTAGCTGAGTTGCACAGGGGTCACGCTGGGACTGCTCTTCACCACTGCTCTCCAAGGTCCCTCACCTCCAACCTGTGCTGGGACCCCCTTTTCCTGGAAGGCCTGTGTACCAGCCTTAACAGCCCAAGTCATGCTCAGTAGCACACGAGCCCCACACCTCAGTGGCCTACACGGACAAAGGTTTGTTTCTCACACACATTACCTGTCTGTCAGGGGTCACCTCTGTGCCACGTCATCTTCATTCCAGGACCCAGGCTGGAGGAGCAGCCTCCGCCTACACACCGTTAGTCATCACAGCAGAAGGAAGAGAGACATGGCCAATCGCAAGCTTGCTCTTCCAGCGTCTGCTCAGAAGTGACACCCATCACTCCCACCCACATCCACTGGCCAGAGCAATCCACACACCCACACCCGAGTCCAGAGGGTGACTGTGTGCCACCCCCGGCGGGGTCAGTGCGGGGGAGGAGCCGAGTCACATGGTCCAGTCCGACGTCAGCAGGGCAGAGACGCCGTCCTCCGCGGGGAGGCAAGGGCAGTAACCGTGAGACCAAAGCTGTCACAGCGTGTCTTCTTCCTTCTGGTTCAGTCCTTCATCTTTTTATGAACTCTGTCCTCCACCCTTGTGGGTTTATATCTTTTTTTATCTCTTTACTATCATTTAAGTATGTTCCATCTGTCACGTTGAGCCAAAAGTCTACCAACCAATTGCTTTAAAAGGGAAATTCTAGGACAGCGTCTACTTCAAAGACGAGTAATTATCATTCTCATCCAGTGTACCATTTTCCATTGTTTATAGCAGTTTTTCTAGGTCCTACAAATGTCAATAGAGGATTTAAACTGTATTTCTTTATGAATACAAAACCGCCCAGTAAGGTAAATTCACTTTAAAATTGAGTTTTCTAAGACAGCTTTGATCCTAACTATCTTGATTTTTGCCTTTTCTGATTTGCTCTAAGCTCCAAGCTTGTGTTTGCAACGAAATCAAGCAGCTCAAAGGAATTTCATTTTAGTCCTGTGACCACAGACAATAATACAATCAACACAGGGGCCCAGCTCCGAAACGATGGCTGCTGCCTGTAACTTATCCTCAGTGCTATGGTACACCTGGGGACACACTGCTAAGACGCATCTCACATACCAAAACCTTACTTAGTTTTGAAACGGCAAACACAGCAAGCAGTCACTAGAGGGTAAAACTATACAAGAAACGGTCAGATCCAGCTTTTTGTTGCATTAGTTTTTATTCGATACTCCTCTTTCTAATAACAGAGATACAGTAGAGTCTCAGCTTGAAAAAAGAAACGTGCAGTTCAGATGCTGTTTCCATCTCAAAACAGTCATGGACACTCATAAACTGTGTAATCCCTTTAACCTCAGGTGTCTCAGTTCTAGAACAAGAACAACAGGGTTTCCAGGAAAAAGGTTTAAGAATTAAATAACTCACGTAAAGCCTTGACGGTGCCCGGCAGACAGTAAACGCTCACGGAACAAAAAAAAATTCTGTCCTCATTTAACAGCTACCTCATCTACTTCTAAAGCTCAAACAGGTCAAATTCTATGACAACCAGGTTTAAAACCTAAACCCTACAAGCCCTTTAATGTAAAGATTATAAAACCACACGTTTTGTGTTTGGGCAAAACTCAAAGTTACTTATTTATTAAACACCTTTTTTCATTAAATGAAGGAAGTCTGAGGCTCTCACCTCTTTATTTTGCTCTTATAAACCCATCCAGGTCTAGAAAGAGATAGTTATCCCTGTAGGTACTAATGCTAACACAGTGAATACAAAACACTCACCACAAGCCTATGTCCACTCTGCCTCCTGAAATGTCCAAATCTGGCCTAGGACATACTGGCCAAAGTGAAACGTCAGGCCCACACAGAGACCTTGACTCTACAGATCTCAGGGTGCAGGGTCTTAAAAGCCAGTCCTGAATGAAGCTGGGGTCACTGTCCAAAGGGTGACGAATGAATTTACGCAGCCTCAGAGAATATGTAAACCGCGTGCAATTATTACATAAAGAATCAGGATTATTTAGAAATATCTGAGAGGTATCTGATGCTCTGAAAACACCTGGGGTAAAACCTTCTAGGAACCTGTGATGTCAGAGACTGAAAAGGCTTTTGTAAATACACTCAACTAAGACCAAACGACTGCAAAGTCAAGCCACGCCAGTTGTCAAAGCGGAAAGAAAGCAAAATAAACTCAGGAAGCTTCAGATCTATTCTCTTCCACTCTTTGCTGTTCAACTGATTTCATTTCTTGCTCATGGAAGTCCGTCAGAAGCACGCCTCAACCTGCACCTGCACTGAAAGGGGGCAGGGCACAGCTGGTGGAGGGAAAACAGGGGGGCCTGCAGTCAGGGCAGCGGGTCTCCACCAGGGCTGCCGCCTCCCTGAGACCCGGCCTCCTCACGTGCAGACCAGCAGGGAGACCGCCCTCCGAGGCTGTGACGGTGAAATGCAGTGAAGTAAAGGGAAGGGCCCGTAACAGCGTCGTCCGACAGAAACAGACGGGAACCGCAAACGGGAGCCACATGTGCAGTTTCAAATCAAAAGTAGAAAAATGCAGGTGAAATTAATTTTAATAATACATTTTATTTAAATCAATATATTCAAAATATTACATTTCACCTGGTAAATTAATAGAAAACTATAGAAATTTTTCACACTTTTTTTGTACCAAGTCTGTGACAGTCGGTGGGTCTCTGACACTCACAACCCAACCCAGCCCAGCCCAGCCGCGCCGCGTGCTCCACGGCCGCACCCGCCGTGCTGCCACCCAGGCCCGCAGTCTGGGCCCCCGCGGGGCAAGCACCGCCTGCAGAGCCGGGCAGACAGAGCCCGAGGGCCTCGGGAAAGTTAGTGTTAAATCAGCCACACTGAAGAGTGTGTGTCTCCACACCACCTGGTGTGACACTTAACAGGTAGCACTGCAGGAAGAATTTTAAACATCCGTACTGGCCAGACTGAGCATCCAAAGTAAGAGCGACCAGAAATTATTGTAACCACTAATATTCATCTATTTAATGCTTATTTTTGTGGCTATTTTGTTTTTCTTAGGATTTGCATTATGTATTAATCTGACATAGAATCTAGTAATCTTAAAAACAGAACAAATACCCTGACGTAACAACAAGCACACAAAAAATCCAAACCACCACGACCTACAAGTGACCAAACTGCACCTTCCAGCTGAGAAACAGGAACAGAATCAGAATCTCTGTTACTACGCCTTTCACTTCATAGCAAAGTCATGCTATAGTTTCAACAGCTTTCATTTTTTTCTCGTAAAAAAGGTAACTGTATTCTCTAAATAGGTGACACCTATCACGACAACCTGGTCACGTGTGAGTAGAGTGGCAGGCGCGCATGAAAATGAGGCCCCACAGCTACTTCGCAACAGTCCAAGGGCCTGAACCCTTGAACATCACCTGCATCACGCTCACTGCTGAGGCAGCACTGAACGGCACGCAGCAGGCAGGCTCTGTGCCCTGAGCTCCGGCGGGGAGGGGCACGGAAACGCTCTCGGCGTGGGTCTTTCTGGGAGTCGGCCTGGCACAGGGCTCAGCACCCGCGCCCTCACCCACCGTCTGTGGGCCGCCCGCCAGTCTCGACAAGGACCATGCTGCTGCCTGATAGGACTTAAACTCAGTGACCAAGACTCTCTGGATTTGATTTTCCTTTTACTACGTATCCACAAGACGGTAGCTGTGAAGACAGGCCGCTCCCTCCAGCCTCTCAGCGCACGCTCAGTCAGAAGGGACACACGGGCCGAAGCGCTGACCCAGGACCTGTGGTACCGCCAGGCCGGAGGCTCGCCCCCCCCCAGCCCCCCAGCCCCGCTCAGGTGCCAGCACACGGTGGTTGAGTCCCACCAGCACAGGCACACCGTCTCCACGCAGACCCCCAGGGAAGAAGCTAGCCCTCCCGAGGTATGCTTTTCCCAGCTAACCAGTGCCCCCCATGCCACCAGTCACAGACATAGACAGCGACAGTCACACACGGTCCCCAGCCGCGCTCAGACAGACTCACATCTGGCGTTTCTGTAGAGGAGGAAGGGGTCCTGGAGCAGGAAATCCAGGTCTTTCGTGATGGGCTCCGTCCTGTTCTCCATGCTCAGCCTGTTCATGATGGTGAAGCCGTGCTTGGGAGAAGCTGACCTAGCGCCCGCCAGGGCGGGGACAGAGACAAGCTGTCAGGGCAGAGCGTCTCAGGGCAGCTGCACGCAGCCACCCCGTCCCCACGGCCACCTGTCTCCCAGGCTACGCCAGGGAGTGGGATGCGGGCGTGCGGCCACCACCGATGCTCTGGTAAAACCAAGCCCCACTTCTTTGGCTGTGTGCGCACCGCCTGCCCCCTACCTAGGCCATAAGCGCCTTTAAGGCAGGGATGGTAACTATCTTGTACAAAATTACTGACAGACACTTTTAAAGACTCCTGACAGTTAATACAGCGTTCATCACAACTACGTAAAGAACTTTTCCATAGAGAACGTTAGTGTTGGTCTGAAATTGAAAGCTGCCCAATTTCTTAGAGAAACGATTTCACTCTGGTCAGTGAACTTGGAGGAGATGTAAGTAAAAGTTTACACAACTTAGAGCAAAGAGCAGATATTTAGTTTTCTTCCATATAAAGCAAACAGCTTCACAGATAAACTACTATAAAAGCTTCCATCCATAAAAATGGGACATTTAGTGACTTTTCATTTTTCATTTCATTCAAGAACCTTTCAGTGCCTCCTCCGGCAGGCAGAGCCCAGGCTGCACAGAAGCGAGCAAGCCTAGGTGCGCCTGTCTACCGCCGGGAGCCAGCCAGCTGCCAGCCGTGGGCCTCTGCTGGCACAGGAGCGCACGGGCTCACAGGCGGGACAAGCCGGCAGGACCGTGACTCGGGCTGGGGCTCAGGGTGGCCACCCCACAGAAACGCAGGGCTCCGCAGGAAGGAAAGGGGGTTATGCCTCACTCGTATTTCACCTCTAACCATTTGATGCGATAAAGAAGTAAAATGCAGCTACATTACCACCCGCAGGCTTCTTCTGAGGCCTGCGATTTAAACCCTGACGGCAGGCGATCCTTGCCGACTTTGCTTTACTAAGAAGGCAGGCGGCGGCCATGTAACCAATACCAGAATAACCATGCCAATCATGTCAACTGAAATTCTGGGGGAGAAGAAGGCTGCTTTCTTACGGACGGTCCTCTGGAAATCACCAGTGGCTTAATCGCATTACAGAAAGACAGACACGGGAGGAGACACAGGAAACTCGTAATTTTAAAATGGGATTAGGTGTTTTCACACCGAATCAGTCTGATTCTTCCAGGGCTTCATTATCACAACAGGACCGATGGTGGGGTCTCCCTGATGGTGGGGCTGCTCTCCATCTCACAGTGCACAGAGCCGGCTGGGGGACACATGTGCCAGCTCTTCTAAAGCAGCACCGACAAGTCAGAATGCACCCCGGCAGCCCCATTATCTGCACCCAAACCCCCTCCCGACTCCCACAGGCTTCTGCCACCCCCCACCCAGCTAAAGTCTCACACACCAGGCCCGGTACTGGATGGTGGTGGTGGGGGCGGGGGGCCTCTTATTCCTACACAGGTAGTTTGGGGAAGCGATTAAGGGACTAGGGAAGGACTTGCTTCTCGGTTTAAAGGTCTGTGTACCCGACAGCTCCAGCAGGGACTCAAGAGTATACTCAGAAGCACTTGAACATGCAAACCTACGTTTGTTTCAGTACAAAAGAGAAGGTACCTGCATACCCTGCTTGTCTTCCCCACTCAGCCCCACTAACCCCTGCAGTAAGTCAGCAATGTGCAGTAATAACACACCTTCTCCCTCACCTCTCAGAAGAGCGACGCTTGTGGGAAGCAAATGAGAAGGCACACCCTGTGCCTGGCTTCCCTCCCACTCCCCAGAACCCCAAGAGCAGTGCACACTCCACTGAGGATGCTCTTGGAGTGCATGTCCCGTGCCTCTGGATGTTCTGGAACAGACTGTAAACTACTCATCCGCTGGCTCCAGGGCACTCCCGCCATCTTGTGAGGAAGCCAAGCTCCTCGGGCAGCTCCTGCCCCCGGGCCTCATTCACCCACTGCTTCCCCTCCGCCCACCTGAGGCCCCACTGTCCCTGCCCCGGGCCCGCAGCGGGTCTCTCTGAGCTGCTCTAGCTCTGCCTGTATCTCTGGGGCCGATTCCTCTCTGCATCCTTGCTGGCCCTAAAACCCAACCTTTACCCCCATCAGCGTCCTCTCCTTCAAAGAACACTTCTCTCCTGGTTCCAAAGACCAAATAAATGCAGATGACTCCACACCTCTCTGTCCCTGCCCAGTCCCAGGGGCCTGCGTGCCTTCATCTCAATGCCCCACAGTCACTCCAAAATCATTATTTCAAACTAAAACTAAACTGATCCTCAAAGCAGATCCTCAACCTCCTGTCTTTCTGCTCCGCCGGTGACTCTGTCATTCTCAGTTCTCCAGTCCAAAATCTCAGCGCCGCTGCGAATGTCACCATTTCCTCCACCTGCAGTCTTTCCATCAACCCTTCCACCTCCGCCTCTGTCATTCTGCTCCACGTTCTCAGCATCTCTTACCTGCTCCATCTTCCCAGTGTCCTGGTGACGCCAGCACCCTGCCTCTCCCCATACGTCCTGCCACCACGCCACGAACCCCCGACTAGGAGACCTCCCAGACTCCCCAGTGCTGAGAAGACAGAGTGCAGAATCCTCAGTCTGCTAGTCCAAGTCACAACACCTCTCCTCCCTCACTGTCAACCTCTAACTCCTTTCAACCAGTATAAACCCTGCACCAGAGTCCACACTGTGGCTTATCTCAGAAGGTGGACAGGGCTGTGTGTGTGCGGGCACCCTTCCTGTCTCCTCAGTGAAGCCACTGGCCTCGGGAAGGCGAGTACCAGGCCTCTGTATCTCGTCTCGGTAACCCATGGACAGCAGTGGGCTTTAGCTGCGACACCTCAGATGTATAAAAGGTTTGGCTGTTAAGACAATACACACACTACAGATCTCTGTGCACGTGTGATACTAACAATTTCTGATAAAAATTACCCCAAAACATGAATTTATTAACCCTATCCTGAAACATCTTCCATTAACTATAAATGGAGGCCTCAGACATCTTTCAGTTCATACTTCTTTAACGAGGCAAGGGGTGGGCGTGACCAATAAAACTCCCTTCCAAATACTGATTAAATAACCCAGTATTCTTAATAATGTGCTTCAAGATCCTTGCCAATGCACTGTATGCAAACACTCTGTAACATTCATTTGAATTAAAGAATACTTAATACTGATTTTAAAAGAACACAAAGATTTAAGTTCACTTATACTGAAGGTTAAACTGTATTCTGAAATTAGTATTCATCACACTATACAGATGACACTATCCAGCACTCCCTTCCTTATGTCTGCTGATAACTTCAAACTAAGATCCCATTACTTCATTCCTCCGAAATAAAACTGCACTTGAAGATGGGTGACACAACAGAGCTAAGACAGTATTTCGAAGACTGTCCATTTCTTTATAAAACTAAAACACTCTTACCTTGTGTAAACAAATAAGGTTCCTTCTACATCAGTCTTTTCCTAGAAAAATAAAAACAAAACAAAGAGCAAAATATGTCTATTCTCTTCGATAGGAAGCATTTGCAGGAGAGAACATAAACTTCTCAGAGGACAGGAATTCCGTCCGGCTTCAGTGGGCCCAGTCTCTGCAACAGGAGGGCAACCCTCAGGGGAAGGAAGGAGGAACGCAGCTTTCCCGCCAGGTGTGGCCCTGCTGAGCAGGCAGCAGGGACCCTCTCCTGTCGCCGTTTACAAAGGAAACCATCACTATCTCCCTTTACCAAACACAGGGACAGCAGCACACCTCTGGCTGAACAATAAGAAAGTGAATATGCCCCAGGGATTTCACTGGAAAGAATCACAGCGAATGTGCTGTCTTTCCCTCCACCCCTGACCTGCAGAAACCACTGGTGTCTGCCCCTCACCCGCCTCTTCATCTCTGGTTTCACTTTCTCCTGTCCATCCTGTCACCCGGAGGGCAGAGGCTCTGCCGGTAACTCTTTGACGACACACAGGGTGCAACGATACCGTCGTTTTCTGACAAATGAATCACCTCCTGCGTGCAGAATATTTAGAGTCAAGTCTGATCTTTGAAATAAAGTTACTAAGCTCAGACTCAAGAAATCTGCCTGAGAGAAACTGGGAAAGGTGTAAGGCTAAAACGATAAACTATCGCTTCACTGGGAAAGGCTCTACCAAGGCTGGAGCCCAGGCCCTGATGAAAATGTTCAGATACTAAAAAAAAATCTAAGTACCCATTTGTCTGATTAACTAGTAATCAAATTACTGTAACTCAGGGTTTAAAATGTATTTTTGCTCTTCACATGGTTTAATTTCAGCATTTTATTTAACCTCTTAATATTTTGTTATTTACACATCCATTACCAAAGTTATTCAAAATTTAAGTACTCTGTAATTTTGGTGAAAAATACTCTTTTGCAGAAGCAAAAGTGTGAAATTAAAATGATAATTCTGAAAAGGCACATGAAACATTGGAAGCCTGCTCCTTCCTTTCTAGGCCCGAGTAATCCATTGTCCTTAAACTGGATTTACTAGTAAGTAAAGTGATCACTTCTACGAAGACAAAGCACTTCCCTGTCTTCCAGCATTTGACCCTGCACTGATCACCCCAGAGATCCAAACCAGGGCGTTCAGAGATCAGCACACAGAAAGGGAGTCGCTTCTGGCCTGTTTCCCTTCTTCCTTAATGAAGCAGGAATAGAAATTACCTTCTCCTTCAGGGAAAAAAAAAAAGACTTTAATGCCCAATTTTAGTTTTGAAAAATCTAGAATCAGAATTGTGAAAGGAAGGCATCATGCGTCTCCTGAAATTATCCTCTAACTCAAAATAAGCAATTCTTAGTTTACTATTCCACATCTCAGCTTCTCTACTGAAGAGTTAACCAGCTTACACCAATCAGATCTTTTGATGAAAAATGTACTTTTCATCAAAGGCTCTATGACACCTAGATAAAAAGGGCTTTGGAAATGTAAATTTGTGATTTATTAGGGCTGAAACAGCTCAAACTCATTCATTTTCTCTGTCCCTCCATAGTTACCAAAGGGTAAGCAGGTTTTTTTCCATCTGGGCAAAGCCCAGGTTTGGGGGTCTAGGGAATAGTTAAAGCTAAATTTTATTAGATCCTCCTTAGGCCCTCCAACTAAAGAAGACTTTCATATTAAAGCAGTAGTTCACAGTTCTGGGGGATTTCAGCTTAAATCTTAAAAGTACAATTCAGTGACTTAATATTATACTCTATTATAAAATCTAACAAGTGCTAAAAAACTAAGTAGTTCAAAATTTAAAACAGTGGAATGGAAAATAGTGCTAGTTTGCAAATTACTGAGACTTGGCACACTATTTGACACTTTTGAAACAACATAATCTGTATCTGAGTATCCTGTTAAAATAGTGAAAAAGTAAATCTCCATTTACCCTCTAAGTCTGTCTCTCCAGGATCACGGATGTAGCACCTGAGTCACCTAAGAAGCATTCAACAAAATCAAACGCTTGGGCCTCGTATCCAGAGACTCTCACTTGGTGGGCCGTGCTTTTTAAAACTCCAGATGATCTTGACGCACAGAGCTCACACCACTAGCTAGAAACAGCGGGACACTAGTCACTCCAGGGCAGTTCCTCAAGCTCAGCAGTTCTGACATTCGGGCCAGGCGAACCTTGGTGGCGGGGGCCTGTCCCAGGCATCACAGGACACTTAGCAGCAACCCTGGCCTCCACCTCCGGCCGCCCGTAACATGCTCCCTCTCAGAGTGACAACCAAAAATGCTCCCCAGACCCTGCCAATGTCGCCCCCGGGCAAAATCAACTCCAGCTGAGAACTCCTGCACTGGGGGCTGCGAGGCGAGAGTAACGCCAGGGTGAGACCCTGCAGCTGACACACAGGCACTGTGGGGGGAGTGGGCTTCCCCTCAGTGGGATGTAGGTCTCGTTCCAAAATTCCTACTCCAGTCCTGACATCGTCTTTCTTAATCCTTCCTTTAAACAGTTCATTCTCTGTCCACCCCTGATTGCTCCCTGATGAGGCCTTCATCTATTTCAGTGCAATGAGAACTCCCCTCCTTCGGGTCCCATCGGCTGCGTTTCTCCTCTGCCCTCAAGAATGTCCTGGATACTTCTACTAGGTCTGTGTTCAACAGCTCCTGACTGGTGGCACATGGAGATGGGGTGACAACTTGTTTTCCCCGAGCAACTGCTCTGCAGCCAAACTAGGGCTCTCTCTCTCTTTTCTTCGGGCTACCACAGCCTTGAAGATTAGCACTTTGAAAGAATGACCTTTTACTGAGTGAATTATGCGCTGTCTGAAGGCAGCAAGTCCAGGAAGCAGGAAGGCTTAACTCCTGTAAACAAGGACCTGCGACACTGGTGCCTTCTGCTGCGGCTGGAGCGGGAGGGCTTGGCCGGGCGTCTGATAACCTGCAGCTACTCTAACGCGCGCGTCTCGTGGATCCCATCCAGAGTCTAGAGGGAACAACTGTTTGTTGCTCGAGAGCAACGCGCTCCTGGGCGTGGCAACTTCTCAGCCTCCCCCAGACTCTCGGGGGTCAAGTGAGCTCAGAGAACCACGCACCGCGGGCCCTCGACTCTACTACAGGGTTTCCTCCATGAGTCGGGACTCTAAGCCTTTGGCGTATTTCTGCTGAGCAGCGTAACGGCCACGCGCAGAGGAGCTCGGCACCGTTTTAAGTTCCACCACGGCGTCGCTCCACGTCCCGCAGTCAAAAACCCGGGCGACAAGCTCCCCCGGAAACCAGGGAGACGCGGCCCCCTCGCCCCGTCTTGCTTCGTCGGCCTCCAGGCCCTGCCCCGTTTGGGTAAAACCTCCCGGGAACTTCCTCAGTTGCCGCCTGGGGCCGAAACCGCCCTCCTCCCTCCCGCCGCGGGGGCCGCTGCCCGGCGTCGTCACTGTCGGGAGGGCCCCGGGGGGGCGCCACTGCCTGCAGGGCGCCCGCGGCCGC